TCTCTCTCTCTCTCTCTCTCTCTCTCTCTCTCTCTCTCTCTCTCTCTCTCTCTCTCTCTCTCTCTCTCTCTCTCTCTCTCTCCCTCTCAGAGTCTTTCTCTCTCTCTCTCTCTCTCTCTCTCTCTCTCTCTCTCTCTCTCTCGCGCGCGCGCGCGCGCGCGCAGCTGCCCCCACCGCGCCGCGCAGCTCCCCAGGGCCCACACAGCCCCTCTGTCTCTCTCTGTCTCTCTCTCTCTCTCTCTCTCTCACACACACACACACACACACACAATCAATCAATCAATCAATCAATCAATCAATCAATCAATCAATATCAATCAATCAATCAAACCTTTTTTTTTTTCAAGTTTTTTGTTTATTTATTTTTAAATTTTGTATCTTTATTTTTCTAAAACACCTCATACCCCTGCAAAAAACAGAAATTCATTTCTAAAAAATACAGGTGAACTCAGGGACCATATATCTGATGATAAAAAATGACCAAAAAAATATCCAACTTTTCTTTATATATATATTTTTTTATGTTTTTAAAATCGAATTTAGTTTTTGATTTTTTAAAAATCCGAAACAAAGTCGGATTCCAAAAAAACAATTATGGGGTTTTAGGGTTTAAAATACCCTACAACCCCTTATTTGTTTTTTTTTTTAACCTATTATTTAATTCAGGAAAATTCTGGTAAAATCGGGTCCGTGGGGCGGACCGGGTAGGCCGCGGATGCGGACCCGTCTGCGTCCGCCATCCGAGATTGGACCCGCGGACGCGTCCGCGGGTGTTACATAGCTTGTAGGCGGGTACCGATTTGGACACATACTCCACCACGCTCTCGAGTCCATTTAGTCCCACCTGGGCAAGGATCGCCAAAATTGCCTCTGGCTGCCAGTAAGAAATGAGAACAAAAGGCTTTTCGGGATCCGGTCTTATAAGGACCGGAGCCGAAATGAGAGCCACCTTGAGTTTCGAAAAATGCTTGATTACACTCCGGCGTCCAGATCAACGACTAATCTTTGCGCAGCAGATTCGTGAGGGGTCCCGCGATCGCCGCGAAGCCCTCGATGAATCTTCGGTAGTACGAGGCCAGGCCCAAAAAGGCGCGAACTTGCGTGATAGTCGTAGGCACCGGCGCATCTCTGACAGCTGCCACCTTATGCGGCTCCGGTTGGAGCCCCTTGTCTGTTACCACGTGTTCTAAGAAGGAAATGGTGGTAAGAAAAAACTGACACTTCTCAAGCGCCACTTTGAAGCCCGCATCTCGTAACGCATGCAGAGCCCATTCGATGTGCTGCACGTGTCCTTCGTAGGAACTCGAGTACACCAGAATATCATCCATGTACACAATCACGCAGTAGTTGATGATGCTCTGCGCCAAACGAGTCTTCCGCACGAAATTCTAAAAAGCCATATTCATGGCTCGCTGAAAGGTCACGGGGCGTTGCTGATACTCATCGGACATCGAATCCACTTCCACGTACCCTCGAAAAGCACAAACGCCATTTTTGGACGATCTTCTTCTCGGACAAGAAGATGATGGAACCCATGGTGAACATCAAACTTACTGAAAAATCGAGCACTCCCAATCGCATCCAACAACTCGTCAATCCGGGGGAGGGGGTACACATGTTTGATCAAGATATCATTCAATTTTCGATAATCAATGCAAATGTGAATCCCTCTGGCCTTTTTAGGCATGATTACTACGGGAAAAGACCATGGACCTATAGCGGGTTCGATCCATCCATTAACTTCGAACTCCTTAATCCGCTAAAAAGTTGTTGCTCTTTGAGGTGGCGAGTATCGGTAAGGAGCGCAGCTAATGGGCGGATGTTCTTCCGTGAGGATGACATGCTCGATCACATTAGTCAAACCGATATCATTATCATGCACGCTCAGCACCTCTGCATAACCGTTCAAAACATTGATTAATGACTTTCGAAGTTCCGTGGGGACGTGGCTCGGTAGGGTGATCGTTGATTCCCCCGGAGTCTTAAGGGGTATGTCGATCCAGTCAACCGGCCGCTCCCGTTGATTGTAGACACTCGAAAAGACAGAATTACTGGTGCGAACAGAGAAGACATTTGCAATCATCTATGATTCGGCGGGGCTGATCATTTCGGTTTCTTTAGCTTCGGCGTCAGTTTCTGAGCCGGCCGAAGTGTGTTCCACAGTCAATCCTGTTAGGTCCGTCATCTCCTGCATTAGATCAGGCACGTCATCTACCGGCGCTTCTGCTTCCTGTTTAATCAAAGTGATGGTCGCCCCCGTCGTTAGTAACGATCTGGGCGGGAAAACAAAACCGTCTAGATACTGTTCCGTTTGTTGATAACGCATTCGTAAGGAAAGTGCTCCCTCGTACAAGGTACGAGGGGGTTCCAAATCATCGGTCAGGTCAGATACTTGTAATATGGGTTCCCCGAGGAGGGCTGAAGGACTGACCTGGGTTTTCGGACGCGCAAGCGCGCTGTCTCCTGAATCCACGTGGAAGCTTCGGGCGGTGTTCGAAAAGTTCGACCAAGTGCTTCCATTCATCCTCACTAGGTAGTTCTTCTTTGTATTCCTGTTCCCCGATTCCGCTACCGATGTCCGAGGAAGAATACTCCTCGGGATCAATGCATCGAATCATCCCTATTTGGGTTGAGTTAGGAGTTCGTTTTATCGTTCGGATGAAAATTCGCAAGGGAACAGTTTGAGGCTTTCCCCCAGTTTGCGTGAGCACCAATTGTCTTGAATCGAAATGCAGACGGGCCCCTACCGCCATCGCCCAAGGTAGTCCCAACAACGCAGAATAGGAACGCACATCTATTACTAGTGCGTTAACAAGGACGTGTACTCGTCCAACCTTTACAGCCACATTCTCAATAATGCCTACGATGTTCATTGCTTCCTCGTCGGCAGAGACATAATTGTCTTTGCCAGATTGAGGAAAAATGGATCCGGGTCATCCCGTATTTCTGACAGTGTCTAATGATGTGGCCACGGCAGATGACCCTGTGTCGATAAGGGCGTTAAACGGCTTGCCTTCGAGTGAGGATGAGCCTGTGTCTTTGCGAGATTGAGAAAGAGCTCGTACGAAGTGATCCTTCTCTGCTGAAGAGATCGCTCCTATACGTGTGGCTTCGGGTTCGCCCGCTTCGGGTTCGGGCGGTGCAACTTCCTTGCCTCCTTCCTTTTTTTTTAACATTCGCTGTATGCGCTGGTACGTGAAGCGCTTTTGATTTTTCTGGCAATGTTGCAAGAGGTTATTATTCGCAACTTCGGATATGGTGAGCAATCCTGCTGGGATAGGAACGCGAATATCCAGTTGCTTGAGCGCTCTCAATACATCAATCTCTCCCGTCCGTAACTGCGGACCAGCATTGGATTCGTGATCAACCCATTCGAGATCATCAGGGGCCGATCGGATCGCTCCGATCATGCCTGCGAGATGAAGATACTCAAGTGGATTGACCACGTCAGCAGCGTCAGAGGAAGAGGCTCCCGTTGTCGACGCCGTTGCCATCGAGGGGGAAGGCTGTTCTGGGGCATATGCCACGAGTTCCCCTCCTTGGGCCGTATCCATCAAGGCGGCCACTCGTCCTTGATTCGGGGCCACAGGGGCCGCAGCAGGTGGGGGCTGATTACGCTTTGGCTGCGGACAGTCTCGGGCGAAATGCCCGGGCTGTTTGCAGTTAAAACATTCGATCTTTCCTGATGGATTAGTTGGGTGAGGGAACTGAGGTGGGTATCCTGGTGCAGGCGGGGCAAGCAAGAGTGGAAATGACGAGGGGGCAGGCCGAGCAGGGGCCGGGTTACGCTTTATTAGCCTGCTCATTATCTATTCCATCCGCTCCATGTGAGCGGCCCGCATTTGGATCAAGTTTCTCATCCATTCGGAATGCTTGGTAGTGGCCGTATGGATCATTTAGGCAAGATGTAAGTTGGTTGCGGCCAGCGAGGGGGCTTCGTGGGAGATTCTGCTCTTAACTGCCGCTATCGGTTAATTCACCGGGGAAGAAGAAACAGGTGGGATATCGGAACTGATCCCGTCGGGA